TCAACTCCCTAGCACTAGTATGAAATGGAGTACTTCTGGAAGCACAGGAGACACTGTTCTCTTAGGCCATACCGGCCATCCAGCATCCCAGACAAAGGAGCCAGGCAGACCATGGCACCTTACTGGGCAGACACAGCCATGGAGATAGTTTTCCCCTTATTCTTCAGGGTGGCCCCCTGATCCTGGGCATTGTAGAGGCTTTACCTGGGAAAAAGCCAGTTGCAAAGAGAGCAGTAGACCCATCCATGTCAGGATGGGGCCCCCCTCAAGGCTGGTAGCCCTCTGCCATGCAGCACCATGCGGGGAACAGCACACCGCACTGAGGTCCAGGGGACCTCAGGCAGGGCAAACAAACAGAGGCCAGCCTGCATCAGATGGGCATCACTAAGCAATCGTGCACAGCCCAAAGGACTGTCCCTCATCTTGGTATATAGGCTGCCTCTTCTCTTCTAGGTCTGCCTTTGATTCTTGAGTCTGTTTTCTCTTTGTGTCTGGTTTAACCGTTTCCAACACTAGTGCAGTTGACAAAGGCCACAGACTACACACCAACTGTTACCCTCAAGATTCTGACTCCTGTCTGGCCCACCCTGATCACTGTCAGCATGTGTCTGTGTGAGTGTGTGAGGTGCACAGATACATGCATGAGCTTCCCAGCTAGTCTGCTACACTGAGAAAGGCCCAGGCTAGTGCCTGCAGCCCTATGAGGCTGTTCTGAGCTCCTCCCCATGCCTCACCCCAGCCCATGCTAAACCTCTCCAAATCCTGACTGCAAGAACACCACTGGTCTCAGCCTTGACACCGATCACCCCTGGGGCAGTGGTAATTGCTCTGGCTACGGAAAGGGAATCCCATTGATCCACCTCGTCATGGCAATTTTTCTGTTTCCCACTCTTGGTATTGTCACTAGCACACAGCTTCCCTCTACCAGGACAGTGGCTGTATCTCCCAGCTCCAAAGCCACCTCTCTGTGAGGCCTCACTTTCCACTGGCCTGCAGACTCTCTTCAAAGGGTACTTCTTCCATAGCACAACCTTAGACTAAACTCACAGGGTGGTGGCCAAGCCAACTGCCCTCCACAACTAAAGGCTAGGAAAGAACACTGCCTTTTGGACATGCTG